GGTCAGTCTGTCATTTCTTTGTATGATTTTGGAAATCCTAACTTATTGACGTTCCTGTTTTACATTTTATAAATCACAGAATGTCATTTCATCATATTGACGTTATTGTTTTTTTTTGTGGAATATATAATGAGGTTCCGGTTTCGCATAGGAAAAGCCTGCCTGCCATCATCGAATGGGTTGTTACCGTTGTGTCGACTCAGGAAGCGCTGTCCCAGAAGACGCCAACCTGCAGCGTCAATGGGGTTGTTACACTACTCAAAAACCAGCTGTATGTTGCGTATTACGTAATATTTATTCCACACTTAGTTACTGCTACATGCACTATCTATAAAACTACGTAAATTTCAAGTTATGCTCTCAATGTGGTCCACTCTGGAAATTTTGCAAATTGAATACTGTTATTACTTGTAATCGTGTATTATAGGTGGATGTACTTTTCAAAGTATCTAAGGTATTACAAGACCACATTCCATCCATCGACCATAGAATTTGGAGTCCGCAGTACCAATAGTTCCCATGCTTGGAATTTCGCCCCATTGATTTCTGAAAAAACCTATCGTGACAATGATATAAATACAAATTTAATAGAAACCTGTTGATACAAAAATTATAGCCTTATACACTTATCAAATCATGTAGACCTAAAAATATAATTTTCTATGGACATATTTCCAATGATCGTAAACTTTTCCATTCCTATAACTCTAGTAGTCTTAGACCAGCTCAATTATATTCAGTGGTCGTAAAATTGTCATATAGCTCATATATCTCTTTCAGAATTATATACTAACCCACTCATTAACGCCTGGTAGTCGTAAAAGTATCCATTCATACAGCACATTTAGAATGACCCACTTATTCATTCCCTGTGACCGAACTTATTTTTGCAAATATTGACGTAGATAATACACCTCTAACTCCTGAGTTATGTGTACTGGTTTGAACAATTTACTTATTGCGTGTAGTTTTAATTTGTTGCTATGTGTCGCTATGTAACCAGCGTCAAACAGTGATACCATGTCACATTACTCGGAGGTTTATCACGTGATTTGCACCACTGACAATGATATATGAACTTAATCACAGTGATGTCACATCTGGTTGAACTTACCTATCACTGAAGGCGCATTGTAGTAGTCTGGATCAACAGTCCAAGCTTCAAACTCTCCTCCAATAAACTCACAGTTATCTTGTCCCGTGCCAGCTCCGTCACCAATATCATAGAACTCGCCGTCGATGGTGTCACTTAATAATATTTTATATCTACTTTGGTCACATAGTATGACACCAACATAATAACCGACATCATATCCACTCAGTTTGACGTAACGATCGCCATCGCACAACCTCCACGTGTTATAGTAGTTAAAGTTAAAAGCTGTCCATGAATCTGCATAAACTGTATAAGTCATATCGCTAATTGTTAATGTCGATGTCGATATAAAAATGTAAAAGTCATATCGCTAATTGTTAAAGCGATATAAAAATGTAAAAGTCATATCGCTAATTGTTAATGTCGATATAAAATGTTAATGTATTATCGATTGTTAACAGTCACACATAAATACAAAATATCATATCGATATTGTTAAGGTTTACTTGAAATTTACACAATTTTTGGCTATAGTTGAGCATAATCATGTCGCTAAGTGTCAATGTCAACATCAACTGTGCACTCACAGAACGCAAATTGTTAAAGTCCCTTTCTCGAAGATAATTGATTTAGTTTATTTTACTTGACATCAACAGTCTCCATTAATGAACTACATACAATATATATTTAATTATTTGTTTGTACACGCGAGTTTCAGGGCGTATACTATTTATTTATTTTTAGAACAAATATTTACAGTAACACCGTCACGGTTACTTTATCGGATTATATATCAAAAATAATCGATAAATCTCTGCTTCGTTTTTTTACCCAGAAAATGGACACGAAACGTCCTGACCTAAAATTACAGCAAAATACAGTTGGAAGAATGATATCCGCAATTATCTTATCTGATAACAATTGTGACGTTGCAGCCTTAGATAATGTTTTATACTGGTTTGGGGTCGATCTGTTTACATTTACCTTGTGGTATCCAAGGGGTTGTCGTAATATCGGTAGCTATGAAATCATTAGTTCTTTTAATCTGAAAAAAATACAACGTAACAGGTATTGTCTATTTCTTAATAAGAAATGTGTGCATAAATATATCATATCGTTACTTCTGTTGGGCTACTTTCAAACGAAACATTACGAGATTGTTTTTGACCGCGTTATTGTCACTTGTGACATGTGATATGTGATATTTGATGAATCTGTTCAAATGATCGTCATCTATATCTCGCTTAGGTGATCCATTTCAAAACTTTTTGAAAATAACAAAACAATATTTGTGCGTAATTTAGAAGATAAGCAGAGAATATATACAAACTGTGTTGTAGTGAATGGCGCCTGTCAAAGCAGTCGTCAGCTGAAACTCTTCAAAAACATCAGTAAAGAGAGAGCATTGCGAGCCATAAGTCACTGTGTAGAACGATTGACAGACGTCATAATGTAAACACTTCCAAGCACAGGCGATGGATGTTGGTAGATTTAGCGTCACTATGGGTGATAGTCCAGGTACCAATCCAGGAGTTGAACTGATGAAATATACTTCTCTCTTAAGACACGATACAGCTGCTGACAACAATACCAGAGACAGCAACACTTGTTGACTATTCATTTTGTACGGTTTCTTCTATGATGTTATCCTATACAACAGTCATTAAAATGTATGAAACCGACATCATCACGTGTCACTCGATATTTCCGACAAAAATAGAAAGGAATATTGATCGAATTACGGTTTCCATTAGGCAGGAACAATTCAATTGAATATTTCGCCAATCGCGTCTCTCGAGGCCATGTATTCTGAATCATTATATGGTACTGGTACAACAAATACGTCCCGGTTATATATTTAATTATAATAACTAAAACATAGAATTTTTTTAATATCGTTTTCCGACACCAAATCGGACTATGATTTATTATAAATGTTGTGTTTGCGGGATACACACAATTCGTTGGATGACAAAATCAAAACACCAATACGCATGTGCAATGAATGATATTGTACGTACCAAACAACCAGTGCGCATGCGTATAATATAACTTTTTTTGTTTCATGTGTGCCCACAAATCCTTCGTATTTAGTTCATAATAAATTATAATCCAATGTAATCAACATACTTATTAAATAGCAATATTACAAATAGCATGTTCTCATATTGCATTTTAAATACTGCATTTTAAATATAGCATTTTAAATAATATCGATCAATATGTGGGAATTGTTAAGAAGAGTAGGTTCAAGTTCAGGAATGTAAGAATAAACCGCGTATGGACTGCAAGAGATGACTTTATTGAACGAACTATGTAGGAAGAACGAACTAACAGAAGAGACGTTTCGTCTCCTAGTTATATTCTCAAAGTAAATATTGGCCTTGTTCATGAATGGTTACAATGAATATGGCCTTGGACATGATTGGTGAAAAGATAAACGAGCTGATTGGTTGAAATTAAAACAATCTAATTGGCAATCTCAAGCTCAATTTTCCGACATAATAATGAAAATAAAAATATGAAGGCAGTCATCATATGTGTGGCGATAGTAAATAAGTAGAAAGGAGCACATATAATATCCTCACATATTGTCGCAGTACACACGTTAAAAAACAAAACAAAACAATTGTGTTTGATTTGTGATATACACCGTATTCAACGTTTTGTGTGCAGCGTTGACGCAGTCGTTCTGATTT